CCTTATCAGTTACCAACATCATTTCTATACAGTTATCTTCATCATGCCAAAATTGACGATGTCATTATAGCCTATTTACTCACATCATCACTAGCTCATCGAAACAGATTACCTTAGTACTAAAACAACAACCGAGATTAATAACATCAGTTAATCAGTTAATAACATGGAAATTCACATCAGTTAATACTCGCCGTTTTCTCTCTCCACCATGTTGGATTCGAGTACCGACAGTAACCCGCAGTATGTAGAAAGTGCACGTACATGTACGTTTCACAGGCACTTGCAAATACAGATTTCGCACATATACGCAAAATTACACATTAGATATATAAACATTATATCTGTCATGTCATTAAATAATGACACTTCTACATAGGCACTGTAATGGAAAAAAATGATATAAGCACTGTGTTACAGAAACTATGATAAAAATACTGTGATAAACACAATCATATAATGTAAACACTATGATATAGAAACAAAAATATAAACACTGTGATATAGAAACTAAATTTATACACTGTGATAAAGAAACTATGATATAAGCATTGTGCTACAGAAACAATTATTTAAGTATTGTGCTATAGAAACAATGATATAAGCATTGTGCTAAAGAAACAATTATATAAGTATTGTGCTATAGAAACAATGATATAAGCATTATGCTATAGAAACAATGATATAAGTATTGTGCTATACAAACAATTATTTAAGTATTGTGCTATATAAACAATGATATAAGCATTGTGCTATATAAACAATGATATAAGCATTGTGCTATAGAAACAATGATATAAGCATTGTGCTAAAGAAACAATGATATAAGTGTTGTGCTATAGAAACAATGATATAAGCATTGTGCTATAGAAACAATGATATAAGGTTTGTGCTATAGCAACAATGATATAGAAACCATGATATAAATACTGTGCTATCAGACAATGATATACTCACTGTTTTGAAATAAGCACTCTCATATAAACAATATATTACAAACAATATCAAATACACGCTATGATATAGGCATTATGATATGAACATTATCTCATTATTACTAGGTAATGAACACTAAAACCATGGATTCAGAACTCTTCAAATGTCACCATTAGACTTAATACATTATCAAATCTTTATTTTGTTTTAGGATCCCTATCCCATCGACTGTGTATTTCTTATGTACAATAAGCTTCCTTGATTTTCTTTTGAATATAGCCGTAGCACAGCTCGGCCGGGACACTTCCATTGACCAGGTAGTCTAGTCGGTTAGAGTGATATTATAGCAATATGAAGTCAATGATTCGAATCCCAGTCTAGCTCCACAGTATTTCATGCACCCCACATACTGTTGATGATTATATCTTTGTTTATGTTTTTTGTTTTTGGCATTTTCATCTTTTCATTAATAGGCCCGCATGGGTTGGGTTTCTGTTCCAAATGATTTGTTGAAGCTATTGTAATGCTGGAAAGAACAATTTCCAATGTGTACTAAGCTTTATTCGCAGTGGTACGGGGATCCTCAAAAGCATGATGAACAAGAATTAATTATAACTTAGTACAGGGTGCATAAACACTTAATGTTTTAACCATCTTTGCATGTTTCACGCTCATAATGCACTAGAAAGCCTAATCGGCTTTCATCAAGTTGGCAGGGACTCTATTTCCCAATTGGACGTATGGGGTCACATGCAGACAACGTGTGGCTTTTATGTGGGTATTCAAGTTTCCTCCCACATTAAGACCCCCTGCGCGCTAACATTTGGACGAACAAGAGTGATTATTATAGTTATAGTAGCAAATTGATATAAATTGTTTCCTAACCGTTGTAAAATGAAAAAATATTTTTATTTTAAGGATCATAACTTTATTTGATAAATAAAATGTAATCAAATGGTTGACAATTGCTAAATTGATGTCCATATCCGTTGGTTTTTCATCATAAAACATGATTTTGTCTCAAGTATGAAACGGAATTTAGAATTGGAATGCAAACATATAACGTAACATTGTACTACAATGTACATATGTATATTTTGGAGAAAAACGTTCACTCTAATATTATTTGTTCTACATAACATAATATAAAGCAGGCCGAGTAAACATAAATGTCGGTACATAGGTCACGGCTGTTAATATCTTTATTTGTGACATGTAATGTAGCAATAAGATCTATCGTTAATTTTCAATGCACCTGTCACCTACATTTGTATTTTCGGCAATTGCGTAAACACTGGGCGGTTGTAAATCGGTTAATGACAATACATTGTAAATACCTTCAACTGAAATCTTACGCATATGTTGATAGGTTCATGAAGTTATATTTAACACCTCGGCTATTGGCGGTCTTCATGGAAAACCGGATAACAACGATAATTATGGGGAGATTTAGCGTCTTGTTAAATTAATGTTTTTAAATCTGTATTTCATTATAAATTTTCAAATAAAAAAACAAAAACAATTGTACCTTAGCGCCCAATACCTTTTATCAAATAACAACGCAAAAGGGGAAGGTATTCACTACAGCTGAGCCTTGATGTATTAGCCTAAGGTATACAAGTAATTATTCCCTAACGTTGTGTAATAGACAGCTGACCATTTGAAAATCCATAATTTAATGCCCTAACCACAACATTACCTAACTGATTCCAAAAACATTTAAAAAATTCCGATGTGAATCTATCTGAGCCTGTGCTCTTATTACTTTTCATATTCTTCAGTGTTTCAGATGCTTCTTTAAGTGTTATAATACCTTCCAAACTGACCGCTTCTTCAACATTTAATCTTGGAACTTCAAAATCTTCTAAAAATTCATCCAAATCTATGTCATCGACTTCATTATCAATAGAATACAATTGTTCATAAAAAAAAATCACCTCATTTAATAATCTTCTTGTTAAGTTAGAACTTCCCCATTCTCCCGTTGTAACTTTGGAAAGATTTGATATAAAATGTCTATTTTCAAAATTAAAAAATTTATTGGTAGGTTTTTCACCATCATCAATCCATAAGGATTTTTCCGGTTCTCAATTTAAATAAAAATGTTCAATAATGTAAACAATAACCTAAACTATTTTTGTAAAACTTATGAAGATGAGACGCTAAAAAAAAAACAAGAAAAAAAAGACTTTGAATGTTCAAGTGTGATTTTTTGGTCGATATTTTTAACGGAGTATGGTCATGGTTTATTTCATATCACTGACTTGAAACATACAAAATACATATTAATGGAATGGAATGCTTAGTGTCTCCACAATCATAATTTGAAACATCTACAAAATCAGTCCTGATTGTGTGTACTTATGACATCAAAAATTGGGGTACCCCCTAATTTTCAGGGAAAACACCTACGCATGCCCTTTTTGCCTGTTTTTTACAAGCTTTAAAATAATAATATCAGTTTCTGTAGTGAATTCACCTGAATATTAAAATTGCAAAGTTTGAATAAAATCCATGCGTTGGCAGATTAAGAACCCCACATTTATAGATATCTGTATTTGATTTTAAAATATCTCTATTTGATTTTAAAATATCTCTATTTCATTGAGAGATATTTGATATTTGCCGGACCCCTCTTTGGTTATTTAACGTCAAGTGTGTTTGCCAGGCAACCCTTCTTTGGGTATAAAGTTTTAAGTTTGTTTGCAAAACGTTCAGGCTTTCACATTCATTCTCGTAAAACATGCATTCTTCACAAGTACACAGTGTCTTTGATGATGTTATACATGTTAAACACTCCCGTCAATGTTTAATTGCCCGTCCTTCTTTATATTCATTTCATTCAACACTGTTTGAAGAGTTGAGCATGTTTTGTATTTGTATATAATGAAATAACTCGCACCTGAATAAATAAAATCGTTGCCAATTTGAAATTATAGTTTCATGTGTAATTTTCCACACAAAATGCCTCATCCAATGATTATTCATCACCGCCAAAATTGCTTATTTAAGCTTACTCAAATTCTAGCGTTTTACGGAATATTTAAAGTTTAACACTTTGATGAATGGGCGGGATCCCATAAAAACATGCATATGAAAAAAGAAACTTTAAACAGAAACTCAAATCATTGCATTCATAATTAGCATGTTTACAGGATAGTCTGATCAATTATATGGCCGCCTGCCCTTCGATATGTCTTAATGTAATTACATTCCCGTTACCAAACTTACACATTTTCCCAGGATTTTCAAACAGAGAAATACTTTTGGCCACAAATGTAGAATATCATGGGGAGAAATTCCATTGTTTCATCTATCCGCACATCAACATCCTTGACTCTATGCTTTGTGTTTACGGCCATTTTCAAAAGTTAAAATCAAGTACATAATTATAACAAGACACAACACCTAACCACACTAGCATAGGAACCGATCACATATCGTACCATTAGGTTAGGTTTGGTTTGTTTGTGCTCTACGCCGTTTAAACAGCTATGGTCATTTAAGGACGAGCCAGGTTTTAGTGGTGGAGGGAAACCGGAGTACCCGGAGAAAACCCATTGACATGCGAGAAATACTGTGCGACTGCCAAACGCAGGCCTCGGACCGGAGACCGAGAGTAAAAGGGCTTGCGAACGTGGACGATCAGACACCTAAACTACTCGGCCATCGCGGCCCTTCTGACACGTAGAACTAAATCCATTCCTACCTCAACTCTAGCTCAACATTCCCGAAGAAAACTAAGAGAGATTCGTGAATTTAATTCACGCATTATCCATCATCCTTTTAAACCAACACTATGACGTCCTTAGACATCTGTCTTTTCATAAATGCACAACCTCCCAAAAGATCACACCTGAACAAACACTATTTCTTAGAAACATAATTATATCGCTATTCGACTTAAATAGCCTCACTAATACATTGACTCCGAAAGGAAAACACCAAACCACTTGATAGTAGAGAGTTAACGTAGTGCTTACACTTATAATTGTCTAATTCTTACTCATGATATACATTAATTATAGAATTCAATTTAAGTATTCAATTTTTTTTACCAACAGAGTGTGCGCCAAAAAGCGTTATTCCTGTGGAGGTACATCTGCGGTTTAATTAATCGCCATCCTGCTGATATTGTTCAGTTTTTCCCGCTGAAGGGATACTACCTTCTATGTCTCGTTATATACCGTAAGTATAGCCTAAATGATACACTTTCCATTTACATATAACTGGAGGCTATTGCCTTTCATTTGTCTTTAACATTGAAAAAATATATCTTTTCTTTTATTATTACAAAATGACTGATAAGGACTTTTGCATTTAATCCCCCCATTTAGTCTCTCTCTTTCACCGAAAAGTCGCAAGATTAGGTTTCGGAACCGATAACTTACAGCCGAAATTAATTATGGAATCAACCGGGTTCATAAGTGAACTATTCTGAGAAATTTCAAAACATTACCAGAGAAAAAACACCTACCACAGTGTTTGGAAGAAGGTTAAAGCATGATAATACTCAAAAACAGCTAGCTGGTCACTTAAGGACGAACCAGGCTTTGAATGATGGAGGACAACCGTAGCACCCGGGAAAATCACCGTTCTGTTGGCAGTAACTGGCGACTGCCCCACGTAGAACTCGAACGCGCTACCCAGTGGTGGAGGGCTAGTGATCGCAGACGGTCAGACGCCTTAACCATTCGGTCACAGCGGCCCCAGTTTAGCATGGATATAATAATTATTATCGATTAACACACATGCCAAAATATTTTTTTACTGTCCTAGAAATAAAGAACCCAGAATATAGATTTCAACACTCTCTGCCGTCAAATAAACATGAAATTGAACTGATTATTTTAAGTGGATACTTGCCAGGAACGCCACCGAATATTCATTTAATGTAATACAAAATTGGCGTAGTGTGGTAATATATTTGTTGCTCTGAAATAGAAATAGTAATATAAAAAACCAGTAAAATTCTATGGTCCCATTTTTTTTACAGCTTTTTCAAATAAATATGTTAAAATAGCTTTATCCATTACAGCATGTATAATTTATTATTATGAAATATTACTGTTTTATTACTCTTGATAAGAAAGACCAGGATATATATAGACCCCACCAATCATCTCACTCCATAATAGACGGTGTTTGACATTCAAATAGCAACGTGTTATCTACCTTTGAAAATCAATCCTTATTTTATCATTGCAGTCCAAATAACCAAAGAATTACCCGACGAGGGATGGAATGATTCTTCAGAATCAGTAAGTACATTTCTCTCACTTTCAAGTGTGTAAGACAGAGCTGCCAAGGGTAAGAAGGGGGTGTAGGTAATTTCGATCTTACACCACCATTTCACGTGACGTTACGTGGCTCAACAATAACGTGACGTCACGAATTTGGTAAACTCCGATGCCGCAATGGGGAAAAGGCGACGTGATGAAATTAAAACCTTTTACAATATGTTTATCGTACACATTAGAAAGATGAGATTAATTGTTCTGCGCAATCATTGTTTGCAAATAAGGGGTATGCTTAATCTGACTGACAGATTTGTTTTCGTCTCAAAAACCCAGGTGGAAATTGATATTTTCAAAATGGTAGCCAGTCCAAACGCATTTTAATGGTTTCTGAAATTATTCTCATGGTTAGAATGGGAGAAAAAATACTCTTTCATGCCCAAGGATGTAGGATAGGGAAATTCCACCCTACATCCTACCCCCTATGCATGAAAGAGTCTTATATTCTTTGTTATAATGTCTGTGTGGGTGTAGTGTCTTTGCAAACAGCTGAAGTCATGTGAGAGATGTTTGTGTAGGGAGACATCGCCTTAATGAAAAATCAGGAAAGCGAGATTAGATATAAACTGTTTTGTAATTTGGGTAACGGATCACCTTTGGTCGTTTCCATATCCCCTTTGCACTGAGTAAAAACACCGATTCTGCAAAAGGTCCGATATTAGTGGCTATTACAACATGCAGTGCAATAATACAGGTCCATTCCTTCCCCGAACCTGAAGTCTTCATAAGAGTCGGGAAATACAATGACTCCACACATTCGAGAAGTAAAGTCATTCATATGAGCGAGGGGGTATAGTGATATATCAGTCTCAGTCAATATAGTGACTCATCCATATCAGTAGGGATGGGATTCATCAATATCACAAAATACTGTGATGCATCGGATTCAGTAAGTAGGTGATCAATCAGAGTGAGTAATTACAACGATTTATAAGATTAAGTAAAATGATTTAACAGAATGAGGAAATACAATAATTCAGAATATGTGAGAACGTAGATTTACTATGAACAGTAACTCATAAAACAGAATAAAAAATCGATTTATCAGATGTATTGGATTTGCTTTTGTGTCGTCTGTTGGGGACAAAACAAGCGACCAACATATATCTGCTTCATATATTTTAACATTAAGAACCCTTTTTTGTTCATCCCTTTACCTACTGCTCTTTCATTTCCTTGTGTGTAGGCTTAAAATGGTCCCGAGGGACCCATCGGGACCATCGGGACCCAGCTAAATGACTTTAGCTGTTGCAAAGACTTAAAACCATTAGAAACGTCATTCAGTGGAGAATGAAGGCACTCGCATCTCTTATAATGACAACTCACAATCAGCAAAATGAATATATGTAATCATTGAAATATGTCTTATGGGTTCTTTCATGTTTCACTATTTAAGGGAAAATATAATGCCAACAATGGTAAGATATTATATTGCAGTTTCAAAATATGCAATGTTTTCTGACGTTCTGGTTATCTATGTATTTTTTACACATTAACATAGGTTACATAGGAAAAACATATATACCACTGATACCATATGCAAAATATCGATAATGATCTTTTACAGCTCTACACCCCGCCTCCAACTAAACCAAATGAAGCTTTCAACAGCGATTCTTTGGATCCAGAAATAACGTTTGTGACAGCATACTTCAGTCTTGGCAGGTTCAAGAAAGGCGACGGAGACGTGTATTTTGATGTCGCAACCTACTCCAGGTGGATGAATCAGTTTGCCAATTTCAACAACAATGTTATAGCTTTTACAGACGTACCGGAGGTAGCTTATCAGTTGTTTATTCTACGTAAGCATCTTCCGAAAGAACGAACCAAGATTTTTATGAAAAACCAGGATGATATGTGGGCGTTTAAACTTGCCCCGAAAATAAAGAACATTTTTGCGCAGCCAGACTACCCAAAGTACCACCCAAATACAGTGTTAGAGCGTTATCCTTGTGCTATGCACGCCAAATACGAGTTAATAGAAACGGTGATACGAGAACGAATGTTTCATACTAAGTACTTGGCATGGATTGATATTGGTTATTTTAGGGACAATTATGGGAAAATATTTCACCTAGACATACCTTCCGATTTTCGGAACGATCACATTGCCTTTTTACAGATGGGGAAGTTTGAACGAGGCCGCACTGCATCATCAATTATAAAAGATAATATATTTTGGATCGCTGGAGGAATATTAATAGCGAGACCGGAGTACCTAATTGTGTTCATTGAAGACTATAAGCGAGCAGTAGAAAACCTTATCAGCCGGAACTTGATGAGTACTGACCAACAGGTGATATACATAATGTATACAAAGGCAGAGGACATGCGCCCTCGTCTTCCCGTGCAAACATACAGCGCTTTCTGTAAATGTGACTGGTTCTATCTCGGCAAGCGCTGTATAGAGGAGTGGCGCAAGTCACTAAAACCCCAAAGTAAGGTCATAGAGGCATTCCATCGAAATATGTTGTAATTCTTGTTAAGTATTTTAACAGATGATGTTTGGTCATTTAATACCCGGTAGAGCGTACAAGAAGTGGATCAGTGTGCCTATTTACTATGCCACTACCTTATTTACTCAATACAAAAATAAGTTGTTCGACTTTTAATCTTACAGATTAGCACTATTAATTTTGCTCCATTAGCATTAGTTACATGTAGCATAGGACCGCTTCATAGCTCTGACGACGCAATATATAAAAAATATCTCGTCTTCAAAAGGCTACGTTATCGCAGCTAGCTTTTACCCTGTATTCACGGTCCTTTGATCTAGTTTTCTATCAATCGTGTAATAACCTGTTTCCAATCTACCTCTATCGACAATTTTAGGGACTGCAGACAAACTCCCTCGGCCAATACCGTAAGCAAGAGGTGGGCGAAGTTTCCACTGGCCTGACCGACCCGTCTATAGAGCTAGAGGCAGCAAACCAGATGACAATAAAAGAATAGCTTTGGCTCTAGATAGGTTTTGGTTTGAATGTTGATTTTTAAACAACATTCATGCATTTTATATAGACATAAATATAACAATTAAAGTACGGGATTCGTGATATAGCAAGTTTCAGGTTCCCTCCCTTTGATCAGACTTTTCTCTTAGGCTGCATCTCAGGAAAAAACATGGGCTCAGAGAACCAAACCTTGAAATCGAAATTGAATTTCCCTACAGCAAACTTTAACTGTATACCACAGTACAACCCATATACATACAGTATACATATAAACTTATATATTATTACATAATAATTAATAATAATTACAGAATATATCTATATAACATGTAAACAGTTTACATAAAAAGTGTATAATATGTATAACCCTTAATACAATATAAACATACAATGTACCTTAATACCGTGTAAATAGAATGGTACACATTTTATAACCGTGTATGCAGTAAACATAAACTGTGTACGGAATCCCTTTATACAATATAAACCTACAATGTACCTGAATACCATGTAAATAGAATTGTTCATATTTTATAACCGTGTATGCAATAAACGTAAACTGTGTACGGAATCTGCATTTTATGATTGCCTTTGAAATACCCCATCCGCCTTATAAATAAATAAATAATATAATATAGTATAATAATAATTGAGAAAGTTATTAATCATGGTGATATAAACAGTTTATACCCACCTTCCCCCTGGGCTAAATAATAGCTTTTTGTGAAACAAGCCACATTTTTACGGGTTTAGAAGTGTTCTAGTAGGATATAACGAATGCTGCTATTGATCACTGAGAGCTTCGATCCAATGTGTGCGTGGACTCGATCTCGAGTCCAATTTTGAGGTTGAGTTAGAAAAAACCTGAATTCAAGTCTATTGACCACACATTTATATTTGAGAAAGCTTCAGAAACTGTTAATTATAAGCAATAGATTAGGTTATCGTTCTGATAATTTCAATCTTTCCCACGATACTATTTTCTGATCCTGTTATATCCAACATAAAGCGTTCAGACGTTGCCTGTTTCCAAAAATTCAACTGTAATACTAATTGATCTTTTTTACCCAATAGCACAGTAGCAGTAAACCATACAAAATGAAAAGACGTAAGTATTTTAAAGATCTTAACACTATCTAAGATAACCTGAATGGGTTTAAAAGCCAAATAAACGATGAACAGAAGGAAGATCAAATTCCTAAGTCAACACAAATCTACATGTAAACATTATTTTGCAGAAGTGTAAAATAACTTATCCGATGTCACCAAATGATCGATACTCGGACCCAAGTTAAATATTTTTATTATGTTTACAGTTTGGATAATGTAACTTGTTTTGGTAATTTATTTACTCATTTCTTCATTCATTTTATTTCATTTATGGGTTTTTTATTTTCATTTTCCCCATTTATTGTAGAAAAAAATAACATACACCAAATATAGATTTCCTTAATATTTTAATATTGGTTCTGGCATATTTGTGGCCTCGGCTGTAGTTGAAATACTTATTTTAATCTATATATGTAATTGTGAGTTGCCACGGGCAGACCCATCAATCTTATATTATTCTATACACACAAGTAAAACACCAATTTTTGAGCTAGTACACCACTAGTCTCAACACAACACAAGTATGGAGGCACATCACTCCATAAACACCAATTGTTCAAAGTCACATGACACGTTCACCGAGTCATTGTTTTGAATTCACCAATTACGTATATGAATTAATATTGCATTAAACCCTGGTATCACAACGGTAAAACGCATATTAACTATTAAGGTAAACTGAACGGTTATGCCGCGCGCCGCCGCGTCCGTTATACTGTACGTCATTGAGTGACTTGTCATCTGAACTACAGCCGTGACGAGATGAGATCATCTGATTAAGATCATCTGATGTTGCGAATCCAACCTCCCCTCCAGAACAGCAGGTATCCACCACAAACTGAAATAGAAATCAACCACAGCAGTATCCACTCTCAAACTGTGGGAAGGGAGGGTGGGATTAGAAAAATTCATAGATTCTGCATGACCAACTTCACTTGCCTGATCTGGAATTTCAATGAATTAAAAAGGGGAGATAAATCGGTATTACCCCGAATATTACACTGCGCTGTTTTCTACTGGAGGTAACTCGGGTTATCTTTTTAACCGAGTGACAGAGCTGAACCATGTTATTTTCTGACTATAAAGTAAACGATTTCATATTACATGAAATAGTTATAAATATATGTATTGCTTGCGTAATTGTTCTTAATTACATATTATAGCTTCAAGAAATGATTCCGTCCCTCTGTACATTTGAAATATCATTACATAAGATTAAGAATATATATTTGCAATCGTGCAAGAATAGCTGGTTTCACATAATTGCATTTGAGCTTAATGTAAGATGCTGATTATGATGCATTTTTATATCATAATAATATGCAATATAAACAACATTTGAATTAGCGCCCTGTCTAGCCAGAACAAGCCACTCTAAAGCGTTTTACAGTACATAGTTATACAATTTATACAATCAATTCAATTCGCATATACATTATTCAATACAACTCTGAGGATTTCATAGAAGCTGCCTTATCGAGTGCTAACTACAAGTCCTATGTCAACTGGCTAATATCTCCCTATGTGTATATGCCTGTGTGTGTGCCGGAGATGTACTTTGTTCTATTTATAGTGTGACGTACTCCCAACGGTGTCATTTATTGTGCCACTTCACTAGAATGCTACAGCACAGATACCTCAACATCCACCCCAGACCGTGTTTTACTCAACCTGGGTTGTTGGAGTTGTGTGGGCAGAAGAAAAACACTTTCCCTGAATATTCCATGCGTACAACGACTCCGGGTTTCGAACCCCGGCCGCCTGCGTGGAAGGCCGAAGTGTTAACCACTCGATCAATTCGCCCATATATATCTAAAACTGTCACTGTAGAAATATTATGATCTGTGTGTTGTAACGCACCTTCAGGTTATTTTACAATTTATATAGGGCGCAGTATAAATGTTGTATATTACTATTAGTACATGTGTTTTAACTTCACTTATCAATGAAGGTACTGTTTTTATTATAGTCTCATTTAATGATCTTTGCACTACTGTACGGTGTGTTTTTTGTATATCAAGTTAGACTCCAATTCCTTTCGCTTTGAAGAAAGCTGTAGCAAATTTGAGCCAGGTCACTTCCTTTGACCAGGTGTCACAGTTGGTCGGAATTACAGAATAACAATCGAGACCCAGGCATCTTTTTCATGCTGTACAATGTTGAGTATTTAATGTTTATATCATCTTTATTATTTTAACTAAGAGCCCAGCAATGTATGGCTTTCAGAAATGTTTTTTCAAAGCTTTGGTCATTTTGAATATAAAAGTGATGTTTGAAATATTTCGTTTGTTGTGTGTGTGTTTTATGCTAAACGTTTATCTTTCTCATTTCATACGTTCATGATTTGAACTGTGATATTTAACCTTATAGTTCCGCGTCTGTTGCATATATACCTGTACTTGTCTTCCCCATTATTGCTATGCTCAAACATAATCAATGGAAATATTAAACATGGTCTTCTAAGGGCCTATTCAAAATATACCAGTACACAGCTTTATGAAAAAATAGTCATTATTTCGTTTAGCACATATGCATTCAACACAACCCACAATGGCCGACTTACATTAATTAAAAATCACGTTTATTGCACAATTTTCTATATTTCCTGTGTACCAAATCTTTCTGTCTGCATACGTATTTGTTTTTATCATGGTAATAATATTTTGATAAATGTTTGCGTATTTTGTACCTTTACAAACAAAATAAATAAATAAATAATGTCCAAAGACAAAATGAGATTTTAGATGTGTTTCATACGTTTCTCTCACATAAGATCAGAAAGCAAACTTGAACATATCCATTGATATTAATTAACAGGTTTTAGTTCTTAAAGCTCGAAATGTTTTGTGAATTGTACATGTTTAACACACGCTTATGATCAGGGGAATATATATATATAAGGCTCTTGGGCTACTTGTATATAATTAATTTTCTAAATTTGATTTGTCCGTAATATCCCAACAATACTGAACAACCATAAATTAACTTCAAGTCACAATTCATTGAATAAAATATACAGATAAATTGGCAGATAGGAAATAATGTGTTCCGTTCAGCTAGGCTTTACAAATATTTTGTTGCAAACTGCTGATCGGAAGATTATGTTTAAACACGTTTTGCAGTCGTGAGGTTGGGGTCGACTGCCTTTGAATTAGTCCGACTTCCTTGTTGTATCAGTTACAACTTAAGAGGTTTTATCAACAAAGGAGTATGTGGAACGTCCTCAGATCGTATAACGTAATTCATTAAAATCCTCCCCTGTCATCATTAAATGAGATCTTTTCTTACTGTGAGAAATTGACGCATTGACAAATTGATAGAGATAGCTCGAATTGGCAACTGTCTGCTATTTTTGAATACATCGTGTAGGTGTTGCTTACCTTCGCCATAGTGAGTTATGGTAATTATAAATGTAAACTGTTTTTAGTTAAACATATTTCATTGCCTTTTGTTTACATAGCAATGGAATTGGGCACAAATTGTACAACTTATATCAAGCCCTTTCTCTGTACAATAATATATTTAACAAAATTCATGATGGCAGAAATACGACAATAAGCTATGTATGATAAATTAAAGTTGACATGTATACACCCACACATTCACACACCCAACACACACATACGCACACATATAAACATGCACATGAAGATATAGGAAGAGAGAGAGAGAGAAATAGATAGTTAATTTAAGAAAATGCATATCAGACCATGTGGTTGTTCCTTCTCCATGCGAACGGAACTAGTTATACGCTGTTCGCTGTTCACAACTTTCTTCTGATCAAATGTCCATCACATCCCGTGCTATACTCTTCCTGCAGTTCATTCCGCTCTTCCTGGTATTTCCGTATCACCTAGTCCGTTCGCACAGAGAAAGACCAAAAACACGGCTTAATTTAAAAAAATATGTTGAACAACAAATATGAAACAATGCATTTACAACTGTACAAATCACTCTTGTTGGCCCGGATGTTAGAGTCTAATTGTAACTTTTCCAAATTATCTGTATCAGTAAGAGTACAAACCATCCCAAAGTTCACAGCAATATTCTAAAATAGGAAGTATAACCGATCTATATATCTTATTTGATGTACGGCGGTTTAGAGTATATTTCAATTGATGGAGGACACCTAA